AATAAATTATGAAGCAGGATTAATGAACAAAATGTAAAATAATGCTGCATAGGCTAAAGTTTGTTGACTGGTAACACTTTCTCCTCATTAGTGATGATTCTTTTAATAGAATATTCCACATAGCGCATATCACATATTTGAGTATGTATTTATGTAACGGGTGAGGTACAAACCCAGCTGCAATACGATAAACAGCAGTAGTGGTTCCAAACAGTATTTTATTATCATCAATACAAACCAACATCTTACAGAGTTACTGGGAAAAGACGTGGTCGGGGCCAGCAACAGGGAATCAGTCCCAAAGACAGTGCTGGAAGATCTGTCATGAATGCGGAAAACGATCCGGGGTTTGAGTACGGAAGGGAGCGAGTAGGGTACACAGGTAAGTGTGATTGGGATGATGAGGTGAATGTGAGTAGCAGGCGTACAGAAGGAACCGAGTAGGTGGAAATGACAGGGAAGGACTGACAGCGCTGTGACAATTTAATACAGTAATTAAAATCGGTTTTAGGTGTCATATTAATCAATGCAGAGAGTTATAAGATCCATCCATCCATCCATCCATCCATCCATTGTCAAACCGCTTATCCTGCACACAGGGTCACGGGGGGGCTGGAGTCCATCCCAGCCAACTTCGGGCGATAGACAGGGTACATCCTGGATTGGTCGCCAGCCAATCGCAGGGCGACACAGAGACATACAACCATTCACACTCACATTCACACATCTATGGGCAATTTAAAGTCCCCAATTAACCTGATCCCCAGAGCATGTCTTTGGACTGTGGGAGGAAGCCGGAGAACCCGGAGAGAACCCACGCAGACACGGGGAGAACATGCAGACTCCACACAGAAAGGCCACTGGGCGGAATCGAACCCAGGACCTTCTTGCTGTGAGGCAACAGTACTAACCACCACACCACCGTGGCGCCGAGTTTCAAGATCATGTAGGATAATACTTCATTATAACATATTTAATTTTAGATATTGTTTACTTGACTTCAAAGTAGCAGTGTGAAGGATCTGGCACAGGGCTATTCAATTAATATGCAATGAGGTTCAGTTTGAGATCATTTTCCCCATGAAAGGGTCCATAAAATCACAATAACTTGGAGTATAATTTTGACGTAAACAATTAACCGTCAAAACAAATGAGGTTAAATTGAAAAATATCTCAGTGAGTTCTCAAAATTGAACTAAATGAAGATTTAACTAAACTGTCCAGCTTTGAATTAATTTAATTCAGGTGTAAAGTGAAAATACAATATTGTATAATTCTTATCTAAATATTATCTTCTAATAATATAAAAGTGTTATTGAAACCACTTGTTTTAGCTCTATTTCCATTACTGTTTTGGGAATGAATTCATATGTTAGGTTTAGTTTTAATTTTCTGTGTCTCTTTATTTTACACATGCGTCCTTAGTGATGCTTGATATTGTCTCCGAACATATTAAGACATCCTGGTTTTAAGGAATGAACATTCAAGAGTCTGAGTTCTTCAGTCTGAAGAACAAGAATTGGCTCATTGACCACATTTGTCTTCTGGGAGAAAGACACTTGAAATAACCTCTTTTTTAGACTAACGTGACACAGCTATTTAGTTAACACAGTTAATTGGTTGCTGTGTTTCCTGGACCACTGAACTGTAAGAGCACCGTTTCAAATTCAAGTGCTCCGTCAATGTGATAACTCAATGGTCCGGATACCACGGCTTCGGTGTCTGCAGTGGTCCGCCTATAAGTGACCTCTAGCAGCTAAAATGTAGGTAATGTAGGTAATGTAATGTCATGTAAAACCCTCCTATGTGGGGAAAAGCTCAGGAGTTTCTGTCCGTTCTGGGCCACTGAATAACCAGGTCAGTGCATCATGAAGAGGACCCGCTTTGTATGTAGATAATAAGATTATGGGACTGTACATTATTAAAAACAAACTTAATCATATCTTACGTCGTGTACACAGTGGCCCATTAAAGCAAACATGGACCACTTATTGGGGGTTGTTAGCAGCTTCTGATGGTTTATATGTTTCTTCACTTTAGGATATAGTTGTATAATAACAATAATTATTATTCATATGAACATATTGTAATGTATTACAAATATGGGAATTAAATTACTTAGAGGCATGAATATGAAGTATTACCATATCTGACCCCAAGTTATTATCAAGCATTACAACTATCTAGGAGTGCTGACATTACACTCATAACGGGCATAAGGAGATCATGATGTATTGCAAAAATGACAGGTGACCAATGCACTGAGTGTTATTTTTCTCTCCAGGGGATAAAAGTGTACGAATGGTCCAGATGTGTGGGGGGCAGGTAACGTGTGCAGTTTGCTTCACCTTTTCCACTTTTGGATTGTATATCTCATTTTACTTTGAAGCAATTATGTTGACATTATCCTATAACATCTAAATTATAGGCTAATCCTAAATGTATTTCTATGACTATCAGCTTTCATTTAAATTGTATATTGATATTATTAAATAACAATACAATGTTTAAAACCTTGTCTTGGCGAGATGTTTTCCACATGGAACCATTTATTTAACATTAACAACCGTTATTTGTCCCCATGGATCAGCAGGTCCCTTAATTGGGCTGTTAAAATGAGAGTCCTTGGTCTTTGAGGACTGGGAGACGTCTGGTTAGGCAAATAATTTATTAATTGCTAAAGGAACAGTACTAAAGCAAGTACAATGTGACTGACTCACTGACACAACTGAAGTGATAAAATGAAGTCAACTGGGGATTCAGAAAAGGAGAGTGCACTTGAAATAGAGGCACCGTTTTGTAGAGTGCCACAGATTTGGTCCATTAGACCCGCTGCTTGACGTTTCTTTTCATTCAGGTATGTGGCTTAATGCAAGAGATATTCTTGAAAGACAACTTTTAAGGTTAGCTGAAACACAATTATTATATTTTCTTTAGAAGCATTTGAAGTGTATCTTTTTCAGCTGGATTTTGAAACTAGACCGTCGTGTGAGTCTAAGATAACTAGTGTCTGCGTGCCCCCCAAACGCAGAGAAGAACACACAAATATGTAACAATGTCTCTACATAACACTATACACTTATCTCAGCAATGACATACAAACCTAGTTTTTTTTTTTGTGATGAAGTCAATGGACACAAATCCATTTTCATCTTCTTCAACGTTGTCCTGTTGCTGGCACTGCTCGGCCTGAAACACATGTTCAGTTTTACTAGAAGGATCCTTTTGGCCCGTTTCACATCTTCCCACAGAGGGACGCTTTAAACGCTAAGACGTGGACGATAATTGGGATGAGTAGCAGTAATTTATGCAACGTAGAACAGCAAACAACTCTTGCCCTATGCGTGCAAATGTATGTAAAGGGACGTGAGCTCATGTTATGTCTGTGATTTGTGCAAAATAATTGGATGTGAACTTTCCTGTTTTTAAACTATTGATTATTTTCCCATATCAGTCATGGATGTTAGCAAAAGTCTCTCTGATGCGCACTGATCCAGTCACAACAGGTCTTCTTTTTTGCTCTGAGGACGGGGCAGTAAGACAGTGCTTATTAAAGTGCCCCCCACCCCGCTGAAAATCTCTCCAAAAGAGCATAGCCCGATGCTGTGAACCCTAACAAGTAATGCCTTAAATCTTGTGAAGGTTGTTAGTTTTCTATTTTAATAAAGTCCCATCAGCAATCAATACATTTACATTTTTACCCCCAAAAAAACAGTGACCGAGACTGTTTTAGGGCAATGATGAACCTCTCCCATTTCTGCATAGTACTCACTGCGGTAAGGACCTTTCACGTGTCTTTGATCAGGGAACAGCATGAACAGTCTTTCAATAATCTATTTATTAATCAGCATGTTTGGTAGCAGGTGTCCCTGTTAGAGTGATGTCAAGTGATCAAGTACAAAGTACACAGCTGGGATTTTTAGTCCAAAACGTCCATGTTTGTACTGGATTTCTTTTGGAGAAGCTCAGCCAAAAAAAGAAAAAAACACACTTTAAGTGAGTGGGTTAATAATAACTTTGGTTCTATAAAATTCACATTCTGGAAGAGATTTAAAGTGAAAGTAAAAGTTTGCTAACTTTCTTCATCCCCAGTACGTTTCTATTTTGGTTCATGTGAGCAATGCAGCAGTTTTTAGCACGCCCCCAAATGCTCTCATAGGTTAATGACGCCCCTCCCAAGCCAATACTGAATATAATCCCCCCCTCCTGTGACAGAAGACTAAAAGACTTCAGACCATTATTCAGCCGTGGATACCACATTGAGTCTGAGCCACAAAGTTAAAAAACAAACCAAAAAAAACGTAAAAACAATGCCTCAATTTAGCTATCCGTAATAATATTATATCACTAAATATACAGCTTATGCTGTAAAATGGTCACATCGGACATGTTTTTTTTAATGGGCCTTAATGAAGCCTCTACTAATTATGTAGCACACACACCCACACACACACACACACACACACACCACCATTGTCTTGTGATCATAAGATGAATGAACAGTCATTGGATACTATCATCGATGTACGTTATAATACAAAAAGAAATGATTTATTTAATTGAGGAGCTGTTCTCGTTTTTAATAGTTAATTTATGTTTCTGAAGGGTTTTGTGGATTAAGCAATTAACTTAAGTTCTGACTATTTGAAAGGGTAAACTTTCTTTTTCAACATTAGTTCTCTTTTGAACACATTTCAAGGTGGTAATCTGAATCACTCAAGTATTTGTTCTGCAGACAGTCTTGGAGGGCTCTCTGTTACTATGGGCCCCCATAACACGGGCCCAATGTGTCTCCAATTAACCCAGTGCATAACTCACCAGCCTTAACAAGGACTTCTTTCCTTTGCTAATCAAACAACCAAAATCTCACCTTCCCCTGAGAACACTGAGGAACTTGAACATCTGTTTTTGCGGAGTCAATGTTGCTGCTGCAAAGAGATATTAATAATTCTGAAGGTTTGATGCAAAGATTGTAATGGTAAAATGTTCTCTCTTGGCAGGTGATCCTGATCCTAACCAAGCTGTATGACTTTCATATCGGCAGCGTCACTGAGAGCACTCTTTGGAGGTGAGTACAAAGCAGATTTTGTTTTTACAAGTAAATTCCTTGAATCCTGTATTGCTGCTTGGACAACCAAAGGATTCTGTGATGATCGTGGGATTGACTTGATGTGTTTGCCAATTGTCAGTTTAATACAAACCTTGGTGACTAATATAATCTGACTTGGCCCATCTTTGTTAACCCTTAAATGGGATCATTTTCAGGTTCATACTTTAAGTTGGACATACGAGACATCCGGGCGTGCGTTAGCTTTAGAAGAATGCTTTTTTCCTTAGTTAACATGATAAGTCAGCGCCAAGTTACAGGTACGCTTTTACTCTTTTCGTTCTTCCCAAACCGTGCGTAAACATCTCCGGCTTATCTCCAAGGACCCCTTAGGTGACCTCCGTGCCTGTGTGAGCTTAAATTTCTCACTTATCAAAGGAACATGCCACACGTGGTCAAGCAGGGCACTCAGTGTGGCGTGCCGTTTGCCATGCTCTTGTTCCGGCATATTAAGTGATGTATTCCCTTTCCTCGGCCCTTCTGCTGAAAAGAAACATGCAAAGCATGCACACACACACTACGAATACACTACCAAAATGGATGGAACCCTTTTCCAATGTGGCTTGTGTAACATCAGTACAGTTATTCCTATGTCTCAGTTTAAGGATTATGCCACACACATGACAGAGTCCTCCTGGACATGAATTGTCCTGGTTTTCCAGGGAAACCATCTACTTTAGGGCAATTGTATCCCCAAGTAATGGGCCATTTGCCAAACTTCCAGAACAGCAATTGCTTTCTCACATAGCTGAGCAACTAGTAACTTATTAGGCCCGGTAGATTGGTCAAAGTTTGGACCGTTGCATTAGAGTGATGCTGTTTGATTTTTGTCGTTTGTTTTTCCCCGAGCCTTTCCAAAACATGAAAACAAACAAGTAAAAAAATAGGCTCTGAAGGTTGGTTGATCTCTCTGTCAGTTGTGTATGTCAACCGCATATTTTTTTGAGGTAATATGCCCCCACCTCAAAAGGGTGTCTCTTCACTCTATGAGCAGAACGTGTACCTGTCCATTTAGAGATTCTGGCCTATCCCACTTTCTGCCATGTGAATACAAAATATGTTGGATATCTATACAGATATGGACAGTTTAATGACCATGGACAGAAAAGATGTCGCGTACTGTGATGGAAATAAAAGTTTCAGCTTACAGAGGGCTTCATTTTATAGACACCCCAAAAATGATGTGGCAGGCTAGTCCATTTTGCCCAAATTACATACCTGCTTAAACTTAAAATGCTTCTCAATAACTTGTGTGGCTCCTATGTGCTTGTATGCACGCTCCTAATGAGACAACGGATGGTGTCTGAGGGCATCTCCACCCAGATCTTTTCTGAGGGCATCAGTAAGCTTAAGTCTAAGGAACAACCTGGCGATTGACCAAAACATAGAACACCTCTGAGTCAATATCGGGTGCTGGGGCCTCATTTATAAAACCTTGCCTAGGATTTGCGCCAGAAGTGGCGTACGGATGAAACATAGGACGTGCGTACGCACAGAAATATTCAGACTTAATAAATCACAATCAATTCTAAATGCAGCGCAGCTTTTGCTTCATGTCACGCCCATAGTTGCCCATATATAGTCTGTGGAACGCCCACAGATTAATATTCATCGATTGCAAAATCATTGCAAACACAGAGGAAAACGAAGAAACGTAACTTCACTCAGTGTGAAGTCGAAATTATCACGGGTGAGGTGGAAAGGAGAAGTAAAATGCTTTTTGGAGGGCACAGTATGGACATTACTAATGCCAAAAAGGTACTTGAGTGGCAAAAGGTTGCACAGCAACGCTGCAGCCTCACAACCTCGGACCGTGGCCGAAATAAAGAAAAAATGGTCTGACATCAATGTGGATGCAAAAAAGCGTTTAGCGCGCCATCGGCAAAGTGTGTCTGCCACGGGTGGGGGAAAGGGGACACCGGAGCTGTCCCCTCTTGATGAGAGACTGGCGGCAATGATTGGGGAATCGCTATTGAGCGGAGTGGTGACTGAGATGGAGGGGGACACTGACGCGCCAGATGCACCGGATGACACGGGTAACTGAAATAAGTAAAATGAATGCACTCAAGTCAAATGTATGTAGGCTACACAATTACAGTTTATTCATATAGAGCAATCCATATTTCAGTCAATGGGTGTTCCACCGGGGCCAGTGGTTCCGATCCTGCAGTTGAGCAGCCGTCTGGCTCCGGCGTCTCCACGGCACGCGGCTCTGAACCCTCCAGCAGTGGCCGTGTCCTCAGCGATGCAGTCCTTGAAATGCAGAGGGAAGTCATTGACACGATCAGAGAGGTGGCAAATGAGTTGGGCGAGATAAAGACTGTCCTAACTGAAAAAAACTGCACAATGAGGGAATTCTTGAATAAATAATATAATGGTTCCACGCCTGTTGTTCTTCACAAGCGATGCATCACTGCCAAACGCTGGCGCACAGCAGCAGCATTTGGCTCAAATGCCTAGGGATCGGGGTCAGGGTCTGGGCCAACACAGCCATCGGCGTCAGGGGGTCGAGGCACGTTTGGAAGCTGTGCCACATTATGTAGCACAGCACATGCCAGCACGATTTTGCACACCTTTTCAGGAGTAGACAATAACCTCCCTCCAGTGCAGTCGAGGCAGCGCCATCTGCCCTTAAACAGGCCGATGGTGCGCTCCACTACAGCGCAAATCCTTCCATGTGCCACATCTTCTAAGAGCGCAAGATCAGCCATTTTGCGTCATTACGCATTGTGACGGCATCATGGCATTTTATTACCGTCCATTTAATTGCATCTGACAAGCAACAGCTGTGTTTTGAGGATGAATTGCATAACATGCCAATATTATTGCAGAACATATTTTACTTTTCTTTTTGAAAATGTGTTAATTTGTATTTGTTTGTTTTACGCTGCAGATCGATCAAACGGTTGTTCGTGTTATTTATGAGAGGCAGTATTGGCATTTCTTTTACACAAGTCTAGTTTTACACACTTTCACACACGTTTGCGTGTTTCCCAATTTTTCCGTCAAGTTTGCTTTTTATAAATACCAATTATTGCGTAGAGAGCGGCGTACGCAACGTTTATAAATGAGGCCCCTGGTCAGGTAATTGTGAGACTGCCGTTCTCTAGCCTGTGGAGGTCTGCGCGTCCCTCCATGGATACGCCTCCCCGGACCATCACTGACCCACCACCAAGTTGGTTATGCTGAACCATGTTGCAGGCAGCATAGTGTTTTCATTGGCTTCTCCAGACCCTTTCACGTCTATCACAGGAGCTCAGGGTGAACCTGCTCTCATCTGTGAAAAGCACAAGGCGCAAATGTCAATGGAGCTCCATGGTGCTCGGCCGTGCGCACAGGACACGCACACAGGATGCTCTTGGGGCACAGTGAAGTCTGTTTCTGAATGTTTGGGAAGAGACATTCACACCAGTGGCCTGCTGGAGGTCATTCTGTAGGGCTCAGCCAGTTCTTCTGTACACAAAGCAGCACATATCGGTCCTGCTGATGGGTTGAGGACCTTCTATGGCCTTTTTCAGCTCTCCTTGAAGGAGATTCCTGGAGACAGGCAGTTACTCATGTTCTGGAGATTATGCTGGGAGACACATCAAATTTCCTTGGAACGGCACGCGTGGATGTGCCACCCTGGAAGAGTTGGACAATCTGTGCAACTTCGGGTTAAGAAATGGCCTCATGCTCCCAGCAGTGATAATGGCTCTAGCTAAAGCAAACACTAGTGGGAGAAACTTGAATTGGCATCCACATGCAAAACCAGTCCTGTTTTGGGGGCCGTCTCATTGTTGCCCTTCTAGTGCAACTGTTGCAAATTCCATCAACACCAATGCAGCTGAAAGTGTTTAACAACCCCTTCTGCTTTTTACTGACCAGATCATTATCAAAGAAGTACGATTGACTTCATGCCATACCCTGATAAAAAATGTGTTCAATTTTTCTAGTATGGAAATGTAACAAATTAGCACATATTAAATAAGAATTCCACATTTGCATTATGGATCATTACATTTTAGATTTAATTCAATCCAATTAATTTAGGGAAGCTCATCTTAATATCTATAATCGATATATTTTTTGAGCCCACTTGCAGAGTCTTCCAAAAGTGAGCCCCAGGAAAAGGCAAATGTAAAATACTGTCTGATGTCCAGGATACAGATGTAGAAAATGTCTTTATAGTAGGAAAGACGGTTTACGGTTTGGGTTTACGTCTCGTTTTATTTTGTAGTTTCATACCTCGGGTCAGTTTCAAGAAGCCAAGAGTTTGTTAACCCTGAGATGAGGGAAACTGTGGCTTGTCTGTTTCACAAAGGGAGGTAACTAAAGCTAAGGGTCAGTCTCCATGGTTGCTGAACCTGAGCAGCCCAGCCAATCACACAGCGCGCTTTCATTTCCTCGTTCATTCAAGTACTCTGTATCAGATGTATTTTAAGTTCAAGTTCAAGTTCGATTTGAACTGATGCAGTTATCCAAAGCGACTTGCATGAAATGGACCCCAGGTGTTCCTGGGTTAACTTCACTTCCTACCTTGTCCTGTGATGCGGTGTCCATGATTGTTTCCACCTGTGTCTAATCACCTGCACCTTCCCTGTGTGTCTGTTATTCCTTGTCGTGTCATTGCATGTTATGCCTGAATGTCTACCCTGAACCTCGTCCCTGGTTTTTTTTCCAAGTATCTTTTTTTTGCCAAACTCTGCGTCGGAGTTTGGTCCCCAGAATCCGTTTGTCCCTGGGCGGGCCACGCCACGTCACCCTGGCCGTTGTGACAACTACTCAAAGCTATCCAATTCGATCATTTACTCATTTACTTTTTGTACTATGTATAACTGCAACAGTAGACAGGAGGGCAGTCCGAAGTTTGAACATATTCAATAAGAAAGGGTGTCTAAACCTTTGACCGGCACTGTAGTTCAGGCGCTACATGTGCCAAGAGACAAAGGAACAGTGTTGCATCTCAACTAGATTTACTT